AACTAACAAACAGGAGCTGCCCAAGGTGATACACTAGGGCGTATAAATTTTTTTTCAAGCAACTATTCTAATTGTTTCTTCAACTCAGCTAATTCAGAAGGTGACATCCTATAAGGTGCCATTGAAATTGGTCCAGTTCCAGGCATTAAATCAATCGAAAATTCAATCTCTCTGTCAGGTGGCAAACCAAGAATATCAATAGGGAAAACTTCAGGAAAATTTTGAACAACAACTATGTTTTTCAAGTTGACTTCCTCTTTAGCTTCCATAGAGGATAAGATTAAATATCCTTGAACTTTACCCCAAGAAAACTTGCTTATTGGTTAGGATAATGAAATCGATAGGTCCTTAGAATCAGAAAATATTACAGACCTTTCTGGACAATTGAGAAGGACATGATTGGAAGATAATCAGTCCATACCTAAAATCACATCTAATTGTGATAAAGGTAAGCAGATCAAATTTACAAGAAATTTTCTATCACCAATAAAAATAGGACAGTCTAAACAAACTTTATTAGCAATTACAAATTTGTTTGTAGGGGTTGAAACAATTAGATTATTCTCTAAAGAAGAAATTGGTAATTGGAGGTGTTGAACACAATCATTGGAGATAAAAGAATGAGTTGCGCCTGAATCATACAGTACATTTAAAGTTTTTTCTTTAATGAAACATTTACCTTGTATTAGATCGTTGTTTTGAGCCGCTTCAATTCCGGTCATGATATAAACTCTCCCAGTCGTAGGAGGTCTTGGTTTGGGTCCAGAAGTATTCGTGTGCGCCTTTGGTTGTCCACACTCGGAAAACAGATGACTAGGCTTTCCACACTTGAAACAAACAGGTCCTTTGAGATGACAATCTTTAGTATAATGGCCCTGTCCACACTTAAGACACTTAACTTGATTATTCATGGGTCTATTGGAATTTCTTGCAAATTGAAAAGATTGGGGTTTCCCTTGAGGTCGATCATAAGGTTTTCCTTCATTATTCCTTTTCTTGTTAAACTGAGGACCAAAAGATTTTGGTCTGTTATCCTTATTGTGATCAAAACCTTCCAGAAAACGACACTTGTGTATTAATGTGGGAAAATCAGAAATTTCTAATATTCCTACTGCCTTTCTTAATTCTGGTATAAGTCCATCCTCAAATTTAATACACTTCATTCTCTCATCAGGTGATAAAAGAAAGTAGAATACTTTCCCAATTCCTCAAACTTGGAAGCATATTCTCCCACTGTCATGTTCCCTTGTTTTAATTGCATAAATTCTATTTCTTTAGCCCCCTTAACATCATTAGGAAAATATTCTTCAAAAAATTTAGCTCTAAATACTTCCCATGTAATAATTATTCCTCCTCCTTCTAATAGTCTTCTAGTACTATCCCACCAATATTCAGCTTCTCCTACTAACATAAACACTGCATAATTTACTTTCTGGTTATCAGGACAGTTCATGACTCGGAATATCTTTTCTATTTCTTTAATCCATAATTTATTCTTTTCAGGATTATATCCTCCGTCAAATTGGGAAGGTTTATTTCTCCTAAATTCAACTAATCCTTGTGACTCCCCCATTCCTTCCGGTCGTTGAGTCCTTAACAAGGCTGTAGCCATGTCTTTAATAGCTTTCACAGCCTCTGTCAGTTTTGAGTTTCTTCTTCCTGCCATCTGAAATTTTTATGAATTAGTTTATTAAACTAGAAACATGGTTAGCACATTTCCCCAAGTTACACACGGAATGTTGCTCTGATACCATTAAATTGTAACGTATAGTCGTATTAATATTAATCTCAATAATATACATATATATATATATATATAATATTTATAGATAGAAAACACATGTATAGTAATAATACTATACATAATAACATATTAAAAATATTCACCACTACGTGCGTAGTTACTTACTTTTACATATATATTACATATTATTAAAAAATATTTACAATACATGCCTATTTACATATCATAGTTTCTTTTTCTACTTCTATTATAATATTTACATGGGTGGTTGAAACAAATTTACAATTGGATTCACATTGTTAGCGGGCGGTAAAAAGAAAATGATTATTATTGGGTCGTCGATCATTGTAGGGACTTCTTGGTTTGGAGAGAAGGTAAAAGTCGACATCGCCACTCTATTAAATGTGACTGCGTTTGTTACTGCATCTACACTCCATGTAATTCCAGAAAACACTGCAGATATCACTGAGAGAAAAGGTCATGGAATGTGGGGCGCATCCATCTATATATATATATATTTGTTTTTTTTATATATAAATTAATACAAATTTTACACAAGAATATAAGGAGTGAAAACAATTTTCAAAGAAATATTTATAATCACAGAGCATGCGTAACAATAGTTAATATTAGAAAATATATATAAAAATTTGAATTACACTTGCAGTGACTAGTCAGGATAAATGAGCATTATAATATCAACCAACAAAAGAATTTTTAATCTTAACTCCTTACTCATTTAAATTCCCAAGGTCAAACCTCTAGCTACAAATAATTCAAATTTTATCTTCTATGACCATAGAATAATATTTATCTTTAAAACAAGTCAAAGATATTTTAACAAAATTATATTATATTCAATCATAAAAACAATTACGCTAAATAAATTAGAGTATTTATCATTATTTAAGCTTTAAATAAATAACATATACGTAAATGAAATATATTAAGAGCATCAATCAAGTAAATGACAATGATAATCATTATAAAATAATTAAATAATATAAAATATGAACATATTAATAATTATTATGGACAAAAATAATCATAGATTAAGCAAATAAATGAGGTTATGGATACCTCACTAAATAAATATATATAAAAAATAACATAAATAAATAAACATAGTAGTACATAAAATTTTAAAGAGATAAAGTTCTCCTCCCCCTTACCTTAAAATAAGTAAATTTGCTACGTTCACTATTTCTCTTTTTACGTTCCCGTTTGCACTATTTCTCTCCGTTCAGTTTGTGTTCAAATGTTTCAAGTGGTTACTCCTATTTATAGGGGTGTAATACCCCTTGATTACGTAAGATCATGCGTCGTAACCTACATTATCAACTGCTGTGCTGTTCAGTAATTGCTGTACACATATACGTTATTATCTACTGCTCTGTACTTATTTATCTACTGCATCTCATATTCATATTTATCTACACCTATTCATTATTTCACTGCACTTCATATTCATATTTATCTACACCTATTCATCAATTCACTACACACATGGCACACGTACACCACTCATCACACATCTCATATTATCTACACCTATTCATCATTTCACAGCACACACGTCACTCATACACGTAATGCACCACATCACTTATCTTTTATTATTTAATTTAATTATATTTAATTACTTATTAAAATATATAAGTTATTATATACATTATAATAGATAGTTTTATATATAATTATAATATTATAAATATTTATAATATTATTGGATATCATATATATATATATATATATATATTTATATATATGTATTTAAATATGATTATTTATATATTTATTTATATATACATGATGATTAAAATATTATTCTAAAAATGTGAATTATAACTATCTAAAAAAATAATAATACAACCAATTTTATTTATTTTAAATAAGGTAACTAAAATTTAAAAGAAATATTATTTTAAATATATATATATATAATATAAAATTGAGAATGTTGTATCACAAATTTAGAATATTACAAAGAGAAAGTAATTTGAGAGTTGTTATATGGTAAAAACATTAGGCCTAGTTGGAATTCAATACCATTTAAGGAATCTTTGCTGTAAAGCAGTGGATAACTTGGTGATTTCACATTATGCTGAAAAAAGAAAACAAATAAAGAAAACATAAAATTAAGAAGGGGATTCTACATATTTAAAGTGGCGTAATGAGAAATAAATATGTAGGGTTGATAAATGAGTTTAAGAGGTAGTGGTTTAGTGAACATTTTGTATTTTAATTGAATTTAAGGAATTAACAAGCGCCTGTGGCCTAATGGATAAGGCGCCTGACTTCTAATCAGGCGATTGTGGGTTCGAGTCCCACCGGGCGTGATTTTAAGAATCTCAACTCTATAGAATTATAGAATCTCTTCCTCCTGTACTCTCTGCTCGAAATGATTTTGAAAATTGAATAGTACAATTTTTTTTTAATCCACTTTAGTCATCCGCAAGTTGAAAAGAAGTGCCGTTATGTGTTTTCTTTTGAATGCTCATATTAATGAAAGTAGTATATAGTTTATTCATAATAATAAAGCTTTTATATAAAAGGACTTTTTTGTCTTTTACTAATTATCACTGACTTATATAATTTTTTTATTATAAAAAGTTAAAATTATTAAAGATAATGTATACATTTAAGGAATCCCTATATAAAATCTTAAGTTTTATATAAAATTCAATTGAATGCTGCCAAACAATGTGCTTAAAGACACGTTACTACAAAGTGGATATCCGGGTCAAGTGTGCTAAACAATTATAACCTTCAGCTATTACATACTACTATGTAATGGCACTTGGTAATTGATATAAGAAATTTTGCTGACCTCTAGTACTCTACATCTATTTCAAATGATTTTGAAAATTGAGTTGTACAGTTGGTCATCTATCTACGAAATTATTTTATATAAATTCAATTGAATACTGCCAAACAATGTGCATAAAGACACACGTTACTACATTTTACATTTTGTTTAATGTAATGTAAGTTGATATATGGGGTCAAGTGTGTTCAACATTTTTACCTTCACTTATTATAAGATGTTTTGCTGACCCTTAGAACTCTGCATCTGCTTGAAATGATTTTAAAGCTTCATTTATTATATAATCTGTTACGCGCATTACATCTATGTATAAATTCAATTGAATGCTACCAAACAACATGTATAATAAAGTCACGTTGCTACAGTTTATATTTTGTTTTCATTCCATAAATGTAATGCAAGTAGATCCCGAATCAAGTCTCAAGTGGCTTTACTTTTAACAATCCAACTTGATTGAGGAAGAGACAGATATAGTTAAGCGTAGTTTAAAACAAAACACTATTAACCAATTACCAAAGCATGTTTACAAGGGTATCTAGATAGTAGATACAGACATGATTACTATTTTCGTTTTCTTCAATAAGAACTAACTTATCTAGTACCCCAAAACGAGAACAACCAACCACTTTCCTCTATTTGGCCTATTCAATCTACATTCTGTCTATACTTAGATTTCATCTATCATAAAACTAACCCCAGCAAAATAATCTCCCCTAGACCTAGGTAGACGAATGTTGTTGTTGTTGCTGCTGCTGCTGATGTTGGTGTTGATGACTCATCAATTCAATCTCCTTCTGACGAATGAGCAAAACCATTCTCTCATTCTCAAGCCTCCTTCGTTCATTTTCAAGTTTGGCTCTCTCCATCTCCCTCTCCTTCTTGCTGCTAAACCTTGCCCATTTCAGCCTTTGTTTCTCCAACTCAAATGCTTGAGTTTGATAGCTCAATTGCTGCTCCTCCAACTGCATTATCCTGCCCCTCATCCATTGCTTCTTGTCCCAAGCACTCCTACCCCCATCTTGGAACACACCACTCACCTCAGCATTCAGTTGCTGCATCACATGTGGTGACATGGAAACCCCTTTCCTTGCCCTCTTCCTCGTTGACCTTCCATCATTCTCATCCTCATGTCCATGCCCCACTTGACCCCTTGAACCACCTTCTCCTGAATCATCTTCATCCTCATCTGAATCATCCTCAGACTCATCCTCCTCCTCCTCCTCCTCATCCTCCTCTTCCCCATTTCCCACTTTCAACATCCTCAAACCCCCCAAATTCCCCACCATATTCTCTGATGAATGAAAACAACGTTGTTGTTGTTGTTGCTGCTGCTGCTGCTGATGTGGCTGTGGTTGTGGTTGTGCCTGAGACTGAGACACCTCCCCCCCAGACTCTCCTTGCTGCGGAACATTGCTATTATTCCCATGGCCACAACTATTATGATAAGCACACATCTCCCTGAAGAACAAATGCTTAGAATTGAGCAACTTCTTAACCTCCTCTTTCATCTTTGGAGACAAGTCCATTGTGTCCAACAGACTCTGATTCTCCACAACCCTGCAAGCCGTTCCCTTGCCAAGGATATCATTCACCCTCTTGTACCTCTTGTTCAAGTCATTGAACTTGTCCTCACACTGTTGAGGAGAAACATAGAACCCCTTCTCCATCATGGCCCTTGACACCGACTTCCACTTCCCCTTCTTCTGCATCAAACCAGAGGATTTCTTCTTATCACTCCCTTCAGAGCCAGCCTCATCGCCAATGTAATAAACCGCCATAATCAAGAGCCTCACCATGGTGTCAGTCCACTTCATTCTCTGCCAAGGTGAGACCTTTCTCTTGGGGTCCTCATCACCACCTGGCTCATCCTCATCACTGAGAGTGCTTTGTTGTTGTTGTTGTTGGGGTTGTTTGGTCTTGGATGAAGAATAGTTAGGGTAGCCATGTTTGATCGATTGGTGCTGAAGGTGTGGATGGTGCGGATCAGTTTCATGATGGGTGGCATAGGGTACCATTTGGGGATGGTGTGGCAAATTGTGAGGGTTTTCAACTCCTACCAAGGCAGAGAACATTCCATTGGGTTCCATCAACAAACACCTTCAAGTCAAGTTTTGAAGCAAAAGGAAGGAACTTTGGATGAAAGGCACTTACCCTTAATCGAATAGTTGAAGAAATCGGAAAGGGTGGCGATGGAGAAGGACATGAATATGGATGAAGGGATTGTGAGAGAGAAGAAAAAAGCGTGGCATTACATAGGGTTTGGTGATAGGATTCAGTTGTCGGGAAAAGAGAAGAGAAGGGTAATGATATAACAGAGAGAGAGTGTGTGTTTGATTTTGAAGCAACTGGTTTTGTTGGAGCAGACAGAATCTGCCCATGGTTTTGGGTTTGAGTGAGGGTTTTTGGAACCAACCCACAGGTTTTCAATTTGATCGGCGACTAGGTGCCATTTTGTGCCAACAAGGATGCTGCTTTTTGTACACGTGCGCTTCATACCATTAACGAAAGATAAATCTTCCTATGTGCGCTCTTTTTTACTCTTTCTCTCTCTCTCTTTTTTTATATTTAACTTTTTAAAAATAAATAAATGAATAAATATTTGCTCCTTCACTAGGTGATTTATTCTTAATCAACTCAAAAGTTGACCATGTGCCTTTTGCTTATTGACAAAGTTTAATTGAGTTTGATTTTGAAAGTTTACTCGGATTTAAGCGGATTTTACATGATTATAACGTTTATACAAATACTTACACATTACTTATCAATAAAATTTTTATATTACAAAAATTAAACGCATGTCCTTCTAAGATATGATACTGTTGCTTACTAACTGAACGTTTGTTTTATTACTGAAAAAAATCAATCCTAGAAACACAAAATTGACCCCCCTAATCCTCGGGTTTAGAGCACCTTGTCCCATGTGTTTAAGTTAGAATCACTTGATGCATGTGTTTTCTAAACAGTTAATAAATATACAGGAAGTGATTCCATTCTTCTGGTGCCGGGACTTTACTAAGTAGGTTGTACCCGGTTGAGACTATTTCTTCTGTTGGCAGAATTTGTTAAGAGGTAATTTCATTTAATAGCTCATTAATTTTGTTGAATTCATTAGATTTTTTCCGATGTTTCATGGTTTCTGACCAAAATATTTTTTCTTTATGTTGGACTTCTGTTGCCTTAATGAATCTGAAATGGATGTTCTATAGTTTTGAGGTTGATAGCTTTCTTGTAAACTGATAGTGATCAACTCCTGCAACTGTCAAAGGTGTATTCAGGGAAAAGGTTTAGGAGAAGTGGGGATCAGAGTCCAAGGCAACATGTGTAATGCAGAGTTTGTTTTTGGTAAACTTTTTCTAAAATACTTATAAGAAGAAAAAAAAATAAGAAGAAAGGAAATGAAACAAGTCTTTCATAACTTAACTTAAAAGTCAATTTATGTATAAGTTAATTTATAGAAATATTTGCTTATTATCTGCTTCAAAATCTTATTTTTAATTAATGCATAAATTAGTTTTAATTCATGAAAAAGTTTATTTCAACTTCTCTTTTTATTTGTTTTCTCCTACAAGTATTTTTTAGAGAAACTTTTCTAAACAGTTCAGAAATAAGTTAACCTTTGCATAGGTGGTAGGGAGAACAGATTGGAGGATGTAATTTGGTTAGATCAGGGGTGTAAAGAAAATAGAGAGGATAATGTAAGGTGTATGAAAAATGTAAGGATGAATTAGGTACGAAGAGAATCAGGCACTTGAGTCTTGAAATTGCCTGAGCTATCTGTATTTTTCTTACCTTGCATATTTTAGCCCCATTGCACTGGTATTGCTCCAATATCAGTACACTAGAAGAGATATAACTCAGTTTGTTCCTTCTTCTCTCTTAATTCGGGTCCAGTGTTTGATTGAGGAAACTTTGTGTCAATACGTGCCATCATTGGTGTTATGAAATATCTTTCTATTTATTGATGAGAACTTGCTTTGTGATCCATTATATGTCAGAAGACTTAATATGGAACTACTAGATGGAGCAAATTTAACATGATGTCAGTATTTGGATCAGGAGCTACCACTTGATAAATTTGTTTGGGAAATCAATATATTAAGAGATCAGTTGAATATGTCGTGGTATGGGCTCTGGATTCAACTGTTGGATCTAAAATTCAATGCTATTGTGCACACTTTTCCAATATAAAACAGCATGCTGTTTTTTTTTTTTTTTTTTTTTTTT